ATAAATGGGGGTCTTTTCATAGGAAAGTGTTGAAGTTTAAGTCCTGCCAGTTAATATTGTTAGGTTGGTGTTGAGCCTTCATGATAGAATACTTCAATTGGGATTTAATTGAGCCTAGAGAACCTATTTTACCACGTGCATTTGACTGTTCAAGAAACGTATTCCATAGATTTGCCCCTTTATATGCGAAATTGTGAGATGAGTGTGGTGTCACAAATCTGTCATCTCTGAGCTGAGATTTCTTAAATAGAGAATACATGGATATGGGCTGATGACTCTTCACTATCTTCATTGTTTCAGTAATGCATCTGTATCTATATATGTTATGTACTGTCATTAGTTCCTTAGATTGGAAAATCGGTTTTGTTGATTCTCTAGAGTGGAATTCTGCCCCAAGTATTTGGCAGCGATGTGGCCTTACTTGTCTATCACCAGTCTTCCTCAAGCTGATACATATAGAACACGGTTTAATGTGAGGTATAGTTGATTCATTGGATATTTGACCTTTCTTGTTTATACTGCACTGGATTGGCCTGCTACGAGAACAAGTTTTAAACTTGTCGCTAAATGCTTCCGAGTCCCCAAATAAGATTCGGACACATTTCTTCTGTGCAAGGAATAGCGGTGAAAGCTTATTAATTGATACACCACCCCATACAGTTATACCGTATCCTAGATGAGATTCAAAAAGAGTGTGGTATATCTGTTTGTACAGCTGGCTGGGGAGGGAGTTTTTTATTCGATAAATACGGCCACATATACTGTTTAATTTCTTAGTTAGTTTCTCGATATGAGGTGTCCAACTCAGTTTGTCATCTATAATAACACCTAGAAATTTCGTTTCAGTAACCTGTTTGATCGGGATTCCATCAATTTCTAGATTCAAGTCATTTTCAGTATTATCAATGGTCTTACGTTTAGTAGGCGAGAAGTACATGTAACAAGATTTTTTAACATTAATGTGCAGTAGATTATGGCGCATATATTGGCACACAGATTCAAGAATTTCATTCGCTATTTTGTATGCTAGTTCCTTAGTTTCAGCAGCTACAAAGATGTTTGTGTCATCTGCAAATAGTACAAACTTTCCTAATGTACTACATCTATAGATGTCATTTATATAGATAAGAAAAAGCAAGGGGCCCAAAACGGATCCTTGTGGTACGCCTAGTTTAACTGGGAGAGGCTCTGATTCTTCACCAAGTACACTAACATACTGGTATCTATTATTTAGATAGCTGGAGAGCAGCTTTAGTGCGTTTCCTCTAACTCCGTAATTACTAAGTTTCTTAAGTAGCATATCAAATGGTAAGGTATCAAATGCTTTAGAGAGATCGATAAATATTCCTAATACGTGGTTTTTATTATTCCGTTTTTCTTCGACATGATTTACGGAGTAATTAAGAGCATGACTTGTAAAAAGTAGTAGTGCAGTAAAAATAGCAGAATTAGATATAAATTTGGAGCCAGTTCTTTAAACTGGCTTACTTATACTACTTAAAGGGTGTTTATCAATTTTTATTTAGTGTTCTATTGAATTTATATTGAATTTTTATATAGGGTAATTATTATATTATGTGTATATTGTTTAGATAATTTTCTAAAAAAATTTAACGGGTGATACTCGTAAAATATCTGTTCCATATACCGTCGACGAGTCCAACTCGGCGCGCGTCCTGGTAGGTTGTAAACCTACAAAATCAAATATACCATAATTTGTCAACATACGTTACAATGGCCGGCGTGGAATTACAAATTATATTAAACAAATTTGTTTAAAAATACACAGTCTATGATCGTTAAAAATTTTTGAAAAAAATTGCAAAAATTATTACAAATGTGCCTCAAATTTTTAAAACTATTTTGTACATTGTTGATTTATTTTACCTGGCACATTTGACATACGTTGCATGCCACTTTTCGCGCGCGAAGCGCGCGCCGCCGAAGGCGGAAAAAGGGGCATACCATGAAGGGAATCGGACTTTTTAGAGGGACGCATATTCTGCGTCCCTATTATCCTATTTGACCAAATATGGGAGTAATTGACTGAGATGGCGCGCGCGCGCCACCAAAACAGTTAAATGCATTGTTTTTAACCAAGTTGCAATATTTGTGAGTTTACTTGGTATCTTTGTAGTATTTTTATTATCTAAACGACTTTATTAAGTCATTAGAACCTTCATGCAAACAAAAATTGAAATGTTTCAATATTTCTGTAAACTGAAAACTTGTAATTTTGTTCCAAACTGCTTAATTTTTGTACGGCGCTACTAATTCATGAAAAACGCGCTATATTTATATTTCGCATTGGATATATAGATGACCAATGATATCGTGGTATTAAAGTCATGTGACACCGCGATGAGCTAGCTGGCGTCTAGCTGCCTAAGATCATATCTATGCTTTCTCCTTTGTCCTATTTTATCACTCGATAACTTTTTACACATGCTTTTTTGTTCAACCTGTTGTTCAATTTGTTTAACATCTCTCTGGTTATTGCAAACCACTTCAATCCCCAAATTTATACATCTAACCATCTCTCTGGTTGCTTCCAACTCGTTAAAGCCAAGGCTCGACCAGGACCGCTTTTTTGGGGCTAATATTAAATACTAGTGGACTCTTTGCAGCTCTTCCAGCACCCCTAAATTTACTGATCTGGAGGTCACATTTTATTGAGCCAGTACAGGCTAATATTAAATACTAGTGGACTCTATGCAGCTCTTCCAGCACCCCTAATTTTACTGATCTGGAGGTCACATTTTACTGAGCCAGTACAGGCTAATATTAAATACTAGTGGACTCTATGCAGCTCTTCCAGCACCCCTAATTTTACTGATCTGGAGGTCATATTTTATTGAACCTGTACAGGCTAATATTAAATACTAGTGGACTCTTATGCAACTCTTCCAGCACCCTTAATTTTACTGATCTGGAGGTCACATTTTATTGAGCCAGTACAGGCTAATATTAAATACTAGTGGACTCTATGCAAATTCTTCCAGCACCCTTAATTTTACTGATCTGGAGGTCACATTTTATTGAGCCAGTACAGGCTAATATTAAATACTAGTGGACTCTATGCAGCTCTCCCAGCACCCCTAATTTTACTGATCTGGAGGTCACATTTTATTGAGCCAGTACAGGCTAATATTAAATACTAGTGAAATCTATGCAGCTCTCCCAGCACCCCTAATTTTACTGATCTGGAGGTCACATTTTATTGAGCCAGTACAGGCTAATATTAAATACTAGTGGACTCTATGCAGTTCTTCCAGCACCCTTAATTTCAATGATCTGGAAGTCACATTTTATTGAGCCAGTACAGGCTAATATTAAATACTAGTGGACTCTATGCAGCTCTTCCAGCACCCTCAATTTTACTGATCTGGAGGTCACATTTTATTGAGCCAGTACAGGCTAATATTAAATACTAGTGGACTCTATGCAGCTCTCCCAGCACCCCTAATTTTACTGATCTGGAGGTCACATTTTATTGAGCCAGTACAGGCTAATATTAAATACTAGTGGAATCTATGCAGCTCTCCCAGCACCCCTAATTTTACTGATCTGGAGGTCACATTTTCCCTCAGTAGCTACTCTCCCACTCAGTATTAATTCTCTGTCTTCATCAGTGATACTCTACATTTCCCTCAGTAGTTATTCTCCCACTCAGTATTAACTCTCTGTATTCATCAGTGTTACTCGATATTTCCCTCAGTAGCTACTCTTCCACTCAGTATTAACTCTCTAAATAAATTATGACAATTATGTTAGTTATAGAATTTGTTTGTTTTTTAATGACGAAGGCTGTGAAATGTTCACAGTTCTGATAATGAGGAAATCAGAAAGATTTTTTAAAACTAGTGATGATGTTTATGTCATTATTCTTAATCTAATCTAATCTAATCTTTGCTGCAGGTGCTTGTCACGTCACATGCCTTAGGCTAGGATGATATCCAGGTAACCATTTTATTGGATCATTTGAAACATAAGCACCCTTCTAAACACAAGGAAGCAACTGCAATACGTGAATCACAGAGGGTCAAGACTCAAGAGACAAAAGTCTGATGAAGTCGAAGCTGAGCGGAGATCGATGTATCAACTGACAACATCTAATCAGCCCACACTGGGGGCAGTCTGGAGCGGCGCCACTGTTACTAGACTGATGAACGTCAAAAAGATCTAAAAAGTTGCTCCTGAAATAGATTATTGATCAGATGCTCCCATACACGACTGTTGAGAATGAACAATTTCAACAGTTTGTTGACGGTAAGATTGATTTGGGACGTTTTTAATAACTTAGCTCAATAAAAAAACAACTTTTCTAGGCTCGAGCTGTGATGACTCCAGATTAAAATTCCAATTGAGTTCTTTGTGATGATAAAATTGATTGCTATTAAGTAAATTAGCAGCAGATTGACAATCATTTGTTGGATAATCATTTACAGATAAATTAAGATCATCTGACTTCCGGCTCATTCAGGTTTGAACAAGAAGTTTGACATACCCTCAGAGAAGGTGGTGCGCACAAAACTGTTTCCTGAATTATATGATAGAGTACAGTTTAAACTGAAGAAATTTATTGACTGAAAGGAGCTGATTACAGTCTGAGCTGTGATGTTTGGTTGTCAAAAGCGCTGGATTCCTATTTGGGGGTCATAATACACTTCGTAACTACAAACTTCGAAAGAAAAGTTATTGTACTGAGATGCCTTCCCTATAACCGAGCACATACCGGTAAGTTCTATCGTTAAATCTGAATAATTTAGCTCATATATATATCTAATTTGTGTCATTTCTAACCCCATGATCAAAGTTCAAACTCAGAACTCAGGACTGCCAATGCCATATAGATTGTAAAATTCGAAATACATGCTCATTTCGAGTTCATCAGAGTGCGCTTAGCTTTTTGATAGTAGAAAATATTAACCGTTAGCTGCCCACATAGTTTCTAATTACAAATTATTACGTGACTCGTTAAAGAACAATGTGTCATTTGTACTGCAGGCATGGGGTCTGTCCGAAGAGAAACTTCACTGCGTTATCAGCGACACTGCTTCAAACATGAAAAAGGCTTTGTCCGCCTGGATCCTGTTTTCTCCATCTACTGAATCTCATCGTAAAGAATTCTGTTTTTCTCAAAGTGGAGTTAACCGGCTTATCAAAAAGATCAAGAGTCTTATCAAGGAGTTTAGAACCCCTGCAGGTGAGAATCACTACATTTACCTTAGGTTTTCTGTTTGATGATTTCATTGTCACATACTTAATCTGATAATAACGGCTGATTCAAAATATTTTCTTACTGAAATGTACACATTAATAACGTTTGATTAAAATGTTGCCGTAGGTACATGTTCGTTGAGTGACATAATCTTGGCAAAACTATCATTGTTACGACTTGCGTTTATCATTTCTTAACTATCATATGTTAAACTATCCCGCACATGCAGGTAAACGTCTACTGAATGAAAATCAAGCAGTAGAGGCAACTCTCATCAGACCAGTTGCAGTGGACACGAGATGGAACAGTTATTACATGATCTTCCAGGCCTTTCAGAATAAAAAATATGCAATAACAATCACCGCTCAAAATGCAGAGTTATCGTTGTCTGCATCTCAACAGGTCAGTTTACATGCAGCTCTTTTGACTCATCTCTCATTTTCTGAGTAGCACTAGTTAACATCAAGTTTAGAGAATCAATGTCCCTGGAATGTAACTGGAACAAATTCTTGTCCGCTGGACCTCCTAATTCCTAGCTCACTTCTCAATGTACAGGCTAAGTATTGATCAACTGAATTTTGCAGATGACTCCTCACGATTGGGATCTTCTGACCAAAGCTATTGCGGTACTGAAGCCATTCTACATCACCACAAAAGCGGCGGAGGGGGACATGGTTTCTGTTTCGGAGGTTATCCCAAATATAAAGAAACTGGATTACGCTATCAGGAGCATATCCTCAAGTGGAGTCGGAACTCTGAAACCCACGCTGCTTTCCGAAATGTAAAACCAAGTATGTGATATATGAACTTGCAAGTGACCCATGCAACAACCATGTCACCATGTGGTCAAATATTCATTTTTAACCTCCGGTTTGTGCTACCAAGCATTGATTCAGGCGTTATTGGTCGCTCTGCATGTCGTTTTAAGTTACTTTTCAAATACATCCTAATGTTGGGGTTTTTATAAGCTATTAATGTAAAAGAAATATTTTTGGGTATGCAAACAAATCAACAATCATGGATTGCCTGTACAGTATCTTTACGTATCATCTAATGATCTATTGTGACATAATATATTTCAGGAGACTGAAGAAATCCAAAGATAGTGCAGCGATCTAAAGAGAATGAGTTAGAAGACCTTCGGAATCTGAAAGTGGAGCCGCTCTACCTTGACGGGAGAAAAGATGCAGCATTGTGATGAGCTTAGGATCGACATTAGACAACTCGCCACTAAGATCTTGTGGCTGTTACGCCACTAACGTCAACACCGGACGTCAGAATGGGATTATAGCCCTCTTAGAGAAGAATTTTGGATGGGAATTGCAAAGATTTATTTGGTGCCTTCACAGGATAGACCTGCCATTAAAAAATTTAAGGGGTTCTGAGTCCTGAACTGTCGAGAGAACGAATTGGTCCTCTCAGCCACGCAAGGTGGATTATAATGCAGTAGAGTTAGTTATATTATCAATATTTACTTACCGCTTGATTTGAATATGAAGTATAAAAGCTCATTCCGAGTTGTGTTCTATGAGTAAGCTAGAAGGTAGCATATTTATTTTAAAGGGATTAGATTTATTTATGTTTTGTTTTAGAACCATCTACTTCTGAGCTGCCCTGTCAAAATTAAAAGGGTGTATAGGTTGTCCCGGCAAAAGCCTCCTTAAATTATTAATGGACGATCCTAAAGACCGTAATTTGGTCATGAACACTTCAGAAGAATTGAATGAAATAAAGGATATTGCCCGCTGTAAACAATGTCGGAGGAACCGTTATTGTAGCTTTTGCCCATTTTACGGTGTGAAGATGTTTTTACCATGGTAGATTCGGTACACTAGTGTGGTTGGTTTTATCCGATTTTTTTAGATTTTTATGGAGGTTGTACCATTGTAAAACTTACATTGTGACAGTATAGATGGCGAAATATTTTTGAAAATGGTCCTAACACAGCTTTGATACTAACAATAACATTGGGTGAATAGATTGGGTGAACAAACTATGAAGCAGGCAATTATATGTGCTCATCCATCATTCTGCATATGTAAGCTCAGTAGTTTAATTGCTGATTCATACTCAATGGTGAATCGATAGAATTCATGTGTCGGAGATCTCGTGAGAACACCTTTTAATAATTATAGCCCTCAGGATCGCATTATCCTGATCCGGCCGTAATGTGTATTGAGGTATGCACTAATTGTAGTGGTGAACGGTTGCAGCTCAGGCTATGTTTCAGTATAACTATATATCAGAGATCGCAGTATATTTACATTCTACTCGGATTGCAGATTGAAATATTTTCCTGTTGGAACCATGACACATGCAGGGGAATACCAAAATATTAATTGTAGTTGTACAACTAATATGATCAATAATTAATAACGGCAACGCTAATTTGTCCTTATTGGACTTTATTTTTACGGACATAAGTTAATAGTTGCTGCAAATGCCAAATGCTACAACTACAAGTTAATCCCTAGCGTTCATTTTAATGTCCGTTCATTTTAATTTTAATATCCGTTCGAATATTGGCGGACGTTTTAAATTGTAATTAAATAGACCATTGAGCGGTCGCGTTTATTTTAATGTCCGCTCAAAATTATTCCCGTTCACATTATTTCCGGTTGCAGTACGGGTAAAATAACGTCCGAATAAAGCTATCCGATAAGTTCAGGCAGAGCTTTCGGACTGCGTAAAACTAAACAACTTGAAACGTTGAAGAACGCCGTTAAGACATCTGTTGTTAACTCACCTAAAACACAAACATACAGTCCAATGGCGAAGAATTCACAGCAAACTGAGCAAGTCATAAGCTCAGAAACGCTCAAAAGCGTAGTAAAACGTGTTGTCGAGGAAGAGGACCGCAGTCTAGTCGCGCGCAACGTCATTGTATTTGGTCTGTTACAAGGGAGCGAGATATATAGAAAACTTATTGACACAGTTAGCGTGATTTTCCAAAACATTGGACAGAAACCGAAGATTGTTGAAGCGTGCAAAATTGCCAGAAAATCTAAGGACAATTTAGTTACAGCATCATTAATAAATGAGCAATTACGTTATTCGTTTAAGTTATTGCAAAATATTTGATTCCAATAAATAAAATCCGCCTTGTGCCGCGTGCGCTAATTCACTAATTCTGTACTCGCCTGCGTACACTGTACTGTACAGTGTACAGCAGGAGCAGGCCTGCAGGCATCATGCTACATGCGATTTTACAAATAATGTTCGACTTCAATTTAGACTTTCAGTTGTTGTAGTTGTACTGTATACTAATTGTGTCGGTTTATATATTTACCAGGCGGCGCTCAAATTGCATGATCAATAACGCTAATTTGTCCTTATTGGACTTTATTTTTACGGACATAAGTTAATAGTTGCAAATGCCAGATGCTACAAGTTAAGCACTAGCGTTCATTTTAATGTCCGTTTATTTTAATATCCGTTCGAATTTTGGCGGACGTTTTAAATTGTTAGTAAATAGAGCATTGAGCGGTCACGTTTATTTTAATGTCCTCTCAAAATTATGGCTACGCCCGTTCACATTATTTCCGGTTGCGGTACGGGTAAAATAACGTCCGAATAAAGCTATCCGATAAACTCAGGCAGAGCTTGCGGACTGTAAAACTGGACAACTTGAAATGTTGAAGAACGCCGTTAAGACATATACTGTTGTTGACTCACCTAAAAGTAAAACACAAACATACAGTTCAATGGCGAAGAATTCACAGCCAAAGCTGAGCAAGTCATAAGCTTGGAAACGCTCAAAAGCGTAGTAAAACGTGTTGTTGAGGAAGAGGACCGCAGTCGCAACGTCATTGTATTTGGTCCGTCACAAGGGAGCGAGATATATAGAGAACTTATTGACACAGTTAGCGAGATTTTTCAAAACATTGGACAGAAACCGAAGATTGTTGAAGCGTGCAGAATTGCCACGAAATCTAAGGACAATTCAGTTACAGCATCATTAATAAGTGAGCTTACGTTATTCGTTTAAGTCTGTCTGTCTGTCTGTCTGTCTGTCTGTCTGTCTGTCTGTCTGTCTGTCTGTCTGCCTGTCTGTCTGTCTGTCTGTCTGTCTGTCTGTCTGTCTGTCTGTCTGTCTGTCTGTCTGTCTGTCTGTCTGTCTGTCTGTCTGTCTGTCTGTCTGTCTGTCTGTCTGTCTGTCTGTCTGTCTGTCTGTCTGTCTGTCTGTCTGTCTGTCTGTCTGTCTGTCTGTCTGTCTGTCTGTCTGTCTGTCTGTCTGTCTGTCTGTCTGTCTGTCTGTCTGTCTGTCTGTCTGTCTGTCTGTCTGTCTGTCTGTCTGTCTGTCTGTCTGTCTGTCTGTCTGTCTGTCTGTCTGTCTGTCTGTCTGTCTGTCTGTCTGTCTGTCTGTCTGTCTGTCTGTCTGTCTGTCTGTCTGTCTGTCTGTCTGTCTGTCTGTCTGTCTGTCTGTCTGTCTGTCTGTCTGTCTGTCTGTCTGTCTGTCTGTCTGTCTGTCTGTCTGTCTGTCTGTCTGTCTGTCTGTCTGTCTGTCTGTCTGTCTGTCTGTCTGTCTGTAATTTCCGAGCGGCTTAATTAAGAAAACGGTAAGAGTTACGGCAGTCTCTATATTTACTAGGCGTTTTTAATGCTAAATGTGTTTCACTTTCAGTGTTTATAAACACAAAAGCTGAGGTCCCCAGGTAATGAAACATATTAACATAATATTAATATTATGAATTGGGTCATGCCATGTGAATTTTATATGCTAATCTGCATTCATCACGCTTTTTATACTAATAAATTATTCTTATGTAATGAGTAAGCACGAGAATTTACCTATGATACTAATACTAATAATAATAATTAGAACCCATAGATTTATTTTTTCTGGCATTACCATTAAGTGACAAAATTCGTGCTACCCAGGGTCTGCAGGCCACCTGGCCACCCATGATGGGGTGTCATAATCATGTATTTGTGACTTGCGGTGGATCGAACAAGTAGCTTCAAAACTATTTGGACTGTAATACTAATATGTAATAGCCCCTAGGCTTATTAAACAACATAACTCATGATGCTACTTTGCTCAAAAGACACTTTTAACACATTTCTCAAGGTAACTTCATGATAGCTATTAGAGCCTCAGACGTGTTACCGAAGCTCTAATGTTCTACAAAAAAATGTATAATCATGTTTTTGGCTAATACTATGACAAAATTAAAAACTACTCTTTTCGTAATTCATTTATTTGCAAAACTTTGATTATCAGAACAGTATTTCAATAATAATAGTAATACTATTTTCCAAAAGTGCTTATCTATCAAAAGTTTATTAACATCTACTTTCAGTTTATAGATTACACTAATCTTAAGTCTATTAATCGAAATCCTTAAATAATTCCCTGTTAAAGGGCGTATCTTTAACTTTCTTCGACTTTGGAGTCGAGTCTGTATCAGTTCTGTACCGCTTGTGCGTTACTCTACCCGAAAACTCTTTCCGTGCAGCTCCTATCTGGAGGACACTCATCAATTGAGTGTCTTCAGTCCGTCGTCGTTGAACAGCGTGGGACACAAGTGCGACAGTGTGCTCCACAGATTGACTATGGCAAGGAATCCTACAAACCAGAGGGGCTTCCCGTATCTTTTCCAGTTCAGCACTTGACATTACGGAGAGGAGGGGAGGGCACGTTACTCGCTCCCACTCATTGTCGTACGTCTGGAAGAATATCTTCATTGGAACCGGACCGTTCTCTTTCTGAATGAAGGGCAAATTAGTTATTTGATCGGTAAATCGTAATACAAGTGTAATAATAATATAACTGAAACAGGGACAGAGTTCGTGGTATATTTGACAGACTAGGTAGACTCAGCAAATTAGTTAACAAATTCTGCATTCTGCTAGTTCAGTAGAATGAACGCACAGTCTTTCTTTTCGTTTGTCATATTTTGATGCAAAAGCATAATATCGGCAGACTTACTAAGTCTGCCTATCACTTAACATGGTCACTTAACATGGTAAAGTATCGTCAAATGGTTTGGAAATGAAACCATTGCATAATTACAATATCACTATAGTTATACATGCTCTATAAACTCACCTCAACTTTCATTCTGACCATCTCAAAATATGTCGTACATTTGAAAACTATCTTCGGGCACTTGAAATGTCGGATTCGTCTAGGTCGCCGAACGCCAGACTCTCTTT